TTTTTGCTTATGTGGTGCTGAGGAATGGAACCCAGGGCCTCAGGCATGCAAGGCAAGCGCTCTACCACTGAGCCACCTTCCCAGCCCGAGGCTAGCTTTTTTAAAAAGTAATATATTTTAGTAAATATTAGAATACATTTTTTCAGGCAATTTTCATATGTAAGACCAAGACTGATTTTGTATATTTAAAAAAATCAAGATTTTAGTATCTAATTTGCAAATATAATGACAAGTTAGATTCTAAAGCAATATAAACTTACAAAACTTTAAGGTATTTGTGTTAGATTATCGGTATTCTTTTGTGATGCTCAAATGTGCTTTTATGAACAATTTTCAGAATACATATCTTAGCATAAATGAGATATCTTTTAGATAATGTGAATGTGGTCTGTATACTTTGTAAGAGCAGAAGCCTTAAAAGTATACAATGGTGGCATAAACCTAGCTATTTGAGAGGCACAGGGTAGGGGTTAAGGTTTGAGGCCAACTCAGACAATAAAAAGTTTGTGAAGCCAGATGCTTACACCTATAATCCTTGATACCCAGGAGACTGAGATCTGAAGACCATGCTTCAGAACCAGCCTTGGGAAAAATCCATGAGACTCTTTATCTCCAGGTAACCTCCAAACAAGCCAGAAATAGAGCTGTAGCTCAAGTGGAACAATGCTAGCTTTGAGCAGAAGAGCTCAGGGACAGAGCCTAGACTTTGAATTTAAGACCCAGGACAGGCACGTGCTCATCCATACATCCCTACGTGCGCGTGCACACACACACACACACACTTTGTGAGATTTGGTGGTTTGTACCTGTCATCCCAGGGACATAAGGAAGTAAAAATCAGAGGCCATTCCAAGCATAGAATGAAACACTATCTCAAAAAATAACCAACACAAAAAAAAGGCTGGCAGCGGGGCGCCAGTGGCTCACCCCTGTAATTCTAGCTACTCAGGAGGCTGAGATCTGAGAATCACGATTCAAAGCCAGCCCAGCAGGAAAGTCTGTGAGACTCTTACCTCCAGTAAATCACTAGAAAGCCAGAAGTAGTGCTGTGGCTGAAGTGGTTGAGCATTCGGACAGCACCCAAGCCCAAAGTTCAAGCCCCACGACCACCAAAAAAAACAAAAACAAAAAAAGGCTGGCAAGTGGCTAAGCAACTTCTGTCAAGAGTGAGGCCCTGGGCTGGGAATATGGCAAGAGTGGGACCCTGAGTGCAAACCTCATTCCAGATGGAGAGAAAGAGTGGCTTTGATTGTATGAATTAACATCTCTGTGCTCTAATTTTTCTGTCTTAGGCCATTTAGGCTGCTATAATAAATACTGTAGACTGGTTACTTACATAAATGATAGAGATTTATTTCTCACAGTTGTAGAAGCTTGGAAGTTCCAAGGTCAAGGTGCCACCATATTTGGTATCTGGTGAAGGCTTATTTCCTATTCTGTAGATGGTTTTGGTTACTTGTACTTATGTGGCAGAATGTGCTTTTGTGGCAGAAGGAGTTACTTAGTTCTCTGGGGTCTGCTTTCTAAGTATTCTCAATCATGTGATCTTTGCCCTTTTGAAGTAATTGTCTCTCAAAGGCCCTACCTACCTCCTAGCATCATGACCTTGGGGATTAGCATTTCAACATTTGAATGGGATTGGGGACTACAAACATTTAAATCTATAAAGTTGAATACTAATAACTACCTTTTGGATGTCAAGAGTAAAGCAAATGATATTCTTATTAGTTACTAATTACCATAGTGGTTTTTTTTTAACTACAGTCTTTGTGTTTTTGTTTTCATGCTTGTATTTTTGACATTTCCTTCCATTTGACTTTGCCTTTTTGTCTCCTGTAGGCCTATGTTTGTCCACCTAGGTGTGAGTTGTATTTGTGTGTTAGGGATGATCTTTCAGTGCTAATGTTCAAAACTGCCATATTGGGCAATATTCTGATCATTTATTAAGAGTAACGTCAGTGTTAACTAACTCTCCTTGCCTGACAGTAGTGCTGCCACTATTCCTTGTTTCTGTGGTACTAGATGAGGTTTGTATGGTCCTGTTATTCCAGCCTCCAGACACCATTCCAGATCTACTGGTGCCCTCTACGCCCCCGATGTGTATGGGGCCTCAGGTGAAGGATGAGTACATTTTCATTATCATCTATATGTTCATCTCAGATTTTGTTCTTTTCAGTTTTCACTGAATAATACTCATTTTCAAAATTGATTTGTTTTTAGTTGGAGTTAATTTATTAGAGAATCACTTGTGTATGTCTGGATTTTTTTGGTTTGTTTTTTTTTCCCCCTAAATAACTTTTCCCCTTCAGCAACCTTACATTCTTCTTGCTGGCAGATGGACATTTTTCTTTTTAATAACGTTTCATTTAAAGATAGAGGACTGTTTTATGTTTTCATTGACTTCATATTTTTGTTTATGTGTTTAAAAAAAACCAAAATGGTGGATGAAGTGTTTTAATTGTAAGTGATAACATATAAAGCACTTAAGGGGGAGAGAATTCATCTCTGGTTTGTCTTTACATATCTCAAACTGTTGGGCACTTAGTAGCCACTTAACAGTTATTGGATCTATTTTAGTTAAAAAATAAAATCAACTTATCTTGACAGAAAAATTGGAGTTTTTGTCTTCTACCTGGTACCCTTAAATAAATAGTTGTTATTCTTCCATTTTCCACACATTGTCAATAATTTTAATTGTTATTACCTTATTATTTGACCTAAAACTCGGTATACCCAGAAAATACAATATTGCTTTTAAAATGCTTTGCCCCATTGGTTTTTTTTCCCCCCCTCTCTAAGGATATTAGTCTCCCAACCTGACACCATTACATTTATGTACCATCTCAAAACTGCTTTCCTACTTTTCTTATATTAGGTCCAGGGTATGGGATCAGCCAGTCGAGCCGACTGTCATCTTCTGTCAGTGCCATGAGAGTCCTGAATACTGGGTCCGATGTGGAAGAAGCAGTAGCTGATGCCTTGGTACTCTCTCCATTTCCCTGTCATTGTAATGTTCTTAGGAAATAGTACTTGAGTGAGCCTTTCACTGTAGGAAAAAGGATGGGGAAATTCTTCTGGATTAAATCTAGAAACACAAAATATGGATAATATAAAAAGCACAATAGGCCAGCAATTGGTAGCTTATGCCCAAACCCCTAGCTACTCAGGAAGCTGAGATCTGAGGATCATGGTTCAAAGCCAGCCCAGGCAGGAAAGTCCGTGAGACTCTTACCTTCAATTAACCACCAGAAAATCAGAAGTGGTACTGTGCTTTATGTAGTAGAATGCTGAAGAGGTCAGGGTTAGTGCCAAGCCCTACCACCACCACCAAAAAAAAAAATCTATCTTTCTAATTCTTTATGCCTCATATTAAACAGAGGTTTAAAAGTTTATTTGAAAGATTGCTATGCAACATATGTGTGTATGTATATGTGTGTGCATGTATGTGTGTATATATACATACATCATCAAAAGAGTGCCAAGGGACTCAAGTTATGAATTACGATGTTTATTCTGTTTTTGAGAAGCATTTATTCATTTCCTTCAGTGAGGGCATAGAGCAAGGGCCTTATGCAGATTTACTAAATTAATTACTCAGAATTTATAATAGGGTCTCATTGCTATTTTCAATTCACTATTTTTTTTCTCCAGTCCTACAGTGGAACCCAGGGCCTCACACATCCTATGTAATCACTCTTATCACTGAGCTACACCCTCAGCCCTTTACTTTTGAAATTTAAAATTACTTTTGAAATATAAAAATACCCTATGTCACTAAAACTATAGATTGTACCTTAACCAGTGTTATATTATAATTTTGCCTCAGATTTGAAAGACAAGGTGTTTTTTTTTATTATTGATATTGGCCTGATTGATTGACTATCTTTAGGTGTACAATTCTACTTTAATGTTCTTTTTTTTCCCCCCTGTGTCTTGAACTCAGGGCCTGGGCAATATCCCTGAGCTTCTTTTGCTCAAGGTTAGTGCTCTACCACAGCACCACTCCCAGCCTTTTCTGTTTATGTGGTACTGAGGAATCGAACCCAGGGCTTCATGCATGCTAGGCAAGCACTACCACTAAGCCACATTCCTAGCCCCCTCTACTTTAACATTCTATGTACTGAATTTTTCCCTTTAGCCATCTGATTATTTTTTATAAATTAATGTAGGTCGAGATTTAGTTCCCCACGGGGGCTCGTGTATATTGATCATATATTTTTATTATGATGTTTAATCATATGTTTTAAGTTCATTATTGCTCATCACTATATTTCTCAAATATTTTCTAGTGTTTTTTAAATTGTATGGTTACCAATTAAATATGGCATATGCACATTTTATGACTTGAACAGATTATTTTTAACTATTACACTAAGAAAATGATATATTTGAGTTATATAAGCCTATTTAACAATGAAGGAATCTCAGTAATATGATTCTACTTCACTTTGTAACTATATATATATATTTTTTTTTTTTTTTTTTGTCAGTCACGGGGCTTGAACTCTGGGCCTAGGCACTGTCCCTCGGCTCTTTAGCTGAAGGCAACCACTCACAGTGCCACTTCCTGTCAGTTTTATTTTTTTTTTTTAAGAAAATAAATTTCATCTACTAAGCCTGATTTTGATGTGGGAAAATAAAATTATATTTGGAAATGGCAAAAAGAAACAAATAAGGAAAATGGTTTTATTTGGGAAAATTTTTTGTGCCCTAGGTATTTCTCCTTAAATAAGCAGATCTTTTGTATCTAATGTTAAAAAAAAAGCTTATGTTTCTAATCATTGGCATTGTTAATGCCCATTTTACTGTGCTGTTTAGCAAAATGTTCTTCATTATTTTCAATTTCTCTCTTTAAAAATTTACTGCTCTCAGCTCTTAGGAGACATACGGACCAAGGTATAGACATTGCTGTTTTTTGACATCTTATGGTATTATAACTTAACTTCCTTTGCCTCATCAACTTTAACAGATGATGGTCTTCTGTAAAAAATTAAAGTGGAAGTAATAAAAATATATGTTTTTTTCTGTAACTGATTATCTCACAATTTACTATCGAGAGGGAGATACTGCTTGAATAGTAGCTTAAGAGAAAAGCTCAACTTTTTCCTACAAATGAGTTGAGATCACTTACTTTGTTAGAGACAAAACAAAACAAATATGGAGGCCTTGTAGCTGTAATGTGCAGAAAACATCACAGTATTACCACTGTAAATTAAGTTGGAGACTCTAAATCAGTATGAAGGCAATTAGTGATGGAAACTTCATTATAAAACTATTTGAACTATTAAAATTCAAATCATTTTTCTTTAGATTTAGCCTGATAGTACTTACAGACACTTAGCACTCTTTTAAATTATTATGGTTAATATATTTCATAGAAATACCATTATTACTGCTTACTACTCAAAATCCCAGAAATCAGATTACATACATGTTTCCAATTCTTCCAAAGAAATTTCAAATGAACTAATTACCTCATGTCACTTCTAATATGCAAGGTATAATTGGCAGTTACAAATATTAAACTATAAACCTTAGATGCAAAGAAATCAAAGGAATCCAAATGTGCTTTCTCATATTTCATTTAAAGAGACAGTATAAATACATTGAGAAAACTGAGGAAAGCCCTTAAGGATTTTGCCTCCTAGAAATACTAGTAAGTGAAAAGTTTCTTATCTTTGTATTTTACTTCTCTAGGAGACATGAGGGTTGGATACAGCGAAGGAGGAATGAGAAGAGAAGTGGTAGTAGAGGTAAAGGAGAATAGGAAAGAGGAGATGTAGACAGAAAAAAAATGCAATTTTAACATAAGAGAAAGTATGCATTTTTGATCCATAGTATATTCCTCCTCTACAAAGGTTATTACCTTTATAAAAAAAATATTTTTCTCACTACCAACTTGTATTTCTAGTACAGTTTATTAATTTACATTCTAGTACTTGTTTTCCATGAAAAGAAAAAAACTTTTTTGAGCACTTCCCACTTGATGCATCTGAAATTCTGACTTATGCTACCTCCTCCACTTCCCATAGTTAAAGAATATTTCACCTTCTACTAACTTGTAAAACACATTTCTTGAGCAAACAACTAAATTGTGACATTTTATTATGGCAATGATGAACAGCATGCTTTGTACCGGTTTTAAATCAGTTCTTTTGTGGTCAGTAGATACAAGGAAATACCAATATATTTTTAACTACTGCTAATAAGATTCTTTATGTATAACAGAAAAAACCTGCTCGAAGACGATATGAATCCTATGGAATGCATTCAGATGATGATGCCAACAGTGATGCTTCTAGTGCTTGTTCAGAACGCTCCTATAGTTCTCGAAATGGTAGTATTCCTACATATATGAGACAGACGGAAGATGTGGCAGAAGTTCTCAATAGATGTGCTAGTTCCAATTGGTCAGAAAGGAAAGAAGGCCTCCTAGGTCTGCAAAACTTATTAAAAAATCAAAGAACTCTAAGGTAAGTTGTCTTGTCTATCAGGTTAGTGTGCATGCAAGCGTGCGTGCGTGCGTGCGTGCGTGTGTGTGTGCATGCGTGTGTGTGTGTGTTAGCATTAGCAAGGTATAAATACTTACTAGACAAGTTCTCTACCCCTTGAGCCACACTCCCACTCCCAGCCTTTGTTGTTTTTATTATTATTCAATAGAGTCTCACTTTTTGCTTGGTAAGCCTAAACAGCCATCTTCCTGTTTACTTATCATATAGCTTGATGGCTCCTGCATACCACCAGGTTCTATCCAATGAAACATTTTAAATTGAAATTTTTTATTAACAAGAAGTAGCTACATAAATTTAAGTGAATAGTAAAAGCTGTAGCTGTGGTTCTGGTAGTATTTGCAAGGCCCTGGGTTTGACCTTGTAAAAACAGTTTTCATAATACTTCTTAGACTGGCAACAAAAGCTGGGTGCTTGGGCCTGTAATCCTAGCTACTCAGGAAGCTGAGATCTGAGGATCATAGTTCGAAGCCAGCCCAGGCATAAAAATCCATGAGATTCTTTTTTTTTGGGGGGGGTCCAGTCGTGGGGCCTGAACTCTGGGCCTGGGTGCTGTCCCTCAGCTCTTCAGCTCAAGGCGAGCACTCTACCACTTGAGCCACAGTGCCACTTCTGGCTTTTTCTTATGTGGTGCTGAGGAATCGAACCCAGGGTGTCAGGCATGCAAGGCAAGCACTCTACCACTGAGCCAACTTCCCAGCCCCTCCATGAGATTCTTATCTCTGTTGAAGCACTAAAAAAGCTGGAAGGAGAGCTGTGGCTTAAGTGGTAGAGTGCTAGCCTTTTGTAAAAAGCTAAGGGACAATATCCAAGCCCTGAATTAGTGTCAGAACCAGCATCAAAAAAAATGAATAAATAAAAGTCCTTTATACAACAGCTTAAAGATAATAAAAATTATTTTTAAATGTATATACACATAATAATAAAATTGACTAGTGTATCAAACTTTATTCTTTGTAAGCTTTTGGTAAGAACAGATTTTTAGGCATTCTTATTCAATAATAAAGTCTTTTTGGAGAGTTTCATATAATGAAATTATAAGAACCAATGATTATTTAAACTATAGAGTTTGGGGATTTCTGATGGCTTTGCTTTCTTTTACTTTTATCCTTCATTGTCCTTGTGTGTGTAATGTTTTAAATCTTTTAACAGTTGGACCCCTTAAGGATTTAATTGTAGATAACTTTGTAGTTTGACTTGGGAAGAATATAGAGGGCTACTTTCTGACTTGATACCAATGAAATCAGAATTTGGTATACTTATTGTATATTTATGTTTTGTTTTGTTTTTTTGGGGGGGGGCCTGAACTCTGGGCCTGGGCGCTGTCCCTCAGCTCTTCAGCTCAAGGCTAGAGCCACAGCACCACTTCCGGCTTTTTTCCTTTGTGCTTATGTGGTGCTGAGGAATCGAACCCAGGGCTTCATGCATGCAAGGCAAGCGCTCTACCACTGAGCCACCTTCCCAACCCCTGTATATTTATGTTTTTTAATATACACATATCACACCTCATATCTCACTGTAATAAATCATTTGAATGTTCCTAGACTTATCAAGATTGTTAGGCTCACTATATCATCTTAAAATATCATTTTAAAAGGCAAAGATTTTAGCCTTTAAATGGCAAAACATCTTAGGTAAGATATATGTTCTAAGAATGCTGTGTGCATAATGTTTTCTGTTGTGCTGCATTAAATACAATTTTCTTTTCAGAACTTCAAACCTTTAAAATAATGTAGGTTACAACACAATTGTTACTGTATGTGATAACTTTATATCCAGCCCTAACTTGTAAATCCCACAAATTTCCCAATTTTAAGGGATAATTTTTTAACATTTTGTTATTTTGTTAATAATTTTATGGAAAAATTACTTTTTTTGTCCCAGACTGGGACTCAAACTTGGCATCTGACAGTTTCACTCATTGGCTGATACTCTTCCCCCTGAACCACATCTCTAACTGAAAAGTTGCTTTTAAATTACTTCATCTTGTATTAATTCATCCAAGATAATAATCCACCATTCTATTATTTTGGCAGTCGAGTTGAACTGAAGAGGTTATGTGAAATTTTCACAAGAATGTTTGCTGATCCTCATGGCAAGGTACGTTTTAGTATTGAAGATTATATTTTAAAAAACATTTATTTCTAACATGGTAGTGATATTTTCAAGCATAGCATTGTTTATCATATTTAATTGATAAGTTGCTCTTTGATAATTAACAGTTCAAGCTTCTCCAGAGAGATTGAAAGTGAAAACTGTAGGACATTACAAGCACAGTTCTTTATAATTTATCATATAATATCTCATGTTACTAATATTTCACTATCTGTAAAGGATGTAATTGGAGTAAGTCAAAAGAAGCTACTAATATTTCATTCTTTTTTTCTTTGATTATTACTGTGATTTTTAATATAAATGTTTTCTTATATTGAAAAATAATTTTGTAGAATTGTCATTAAATAGAACAAAATACGGCTATCACCATAGTTTGGTAGTCATGAAAAATGAAATATTTCATACATTGAAATAATACAGAAAAATTTAGAACTTCATTCAGTTGTTAAGTATTCACTCAGATATATTTTATTACATACTTAGGGATAATCTGCATGTACAATGTGAAATTTGGTTTACCTAAATGGATGATGCTATTATAAAAGTTATTCTATTTCCAGCAATGTGTTTGACAATGGGGAAACCTTATTACATATCTTTCTTTAGGACGTCAAGTATCTACAAGAGAATTTCTAAACTAAATGAGATAGATGTATTAAGAAAAGTATAAGAAAAATATTAATGAATTCCACTTTGTTTTGTTGTCTTCATTTTATTTTTGTATATATATCATTTCTTCATTTCTATTTTTAGTATTTTCATTGCTTCTGACACTTAAAATTATTAAAAAACCCACGTGATGTATAAACTAAACTTGAGCTAAACATTTTAATCCATTGGGATTTGTACATAGTTAATATAAATTGCTTATACTTTAAATAGTTTTTTAGGGTTATTAGTGAGTGTGCACATGCACACACTGACCTGGGGGCCTGAACTCAGGACCTGAGCACTGTCTTGAGGTTTTTTGCTCAAGGCTAGTGCACTACCACTTAAATTGCAGCTCCACATCTGACTTGGAGCTTAGAGTCTCATCAGTTTTCTTGCCAGATGGCTTCAAACCATGATCTTCAAATTTCAACCTCTTGAAAGGTAGTTAGGATTATAGGCATGAGTGATCAGCACCCAGCCTTTGAAACAGCTTTCAGTGATTATCATGTGTTAGAGGTAAATTTGTTTTATCTGCAAGCAAAAGGTCCCATTAAAAGTTAAAAATGAAATACATTGGCAAGGAGTTCATCTATTAAAATGTGTAATTTTCAAACTAAAAATCTAAACAAATGCCATTTTATATTGCAGTTGCTACTAATTACAGCTGTAGAATTTGCCTTACTGTAAAAATATCTACAAATTATAAACAAATTAACTTTTGGTCATCTTAGTTGGCAGTATAAGCCAAATAAGAAGATAGTTTAAGATTTGTGGGGCAAGGAGCTGGTGGCACACACCTATAATCCTAGCTACTCAGAAGTCTGAGATTTGAGGGTCATGATTCAAAGCCAGCCCAGGCAGGAAAGTCTGTGAGACTCATCTCCAATTAACCACCAAAAAACCAGAAGTGGTACTGTGGCTCAAGTGGTAGAGCACTCACCTTGAGCTGGAGGGTTGAGAGACAGTGCCCAAACCCAGAGTTCAAGCCCCACAGCTGCCCCCCCCAAAAATGTGGGGAGAACTTAGGCAGGTTTTTTGGTTTGGGTTTTTTTTTTTTTTGCTGTTCCTGTGGCTCAAACTCTGGGCCTGGGCACTGTCCCTGAGCTCCTTTTTCTCAAGGCTAGGCTACTGCTCTACTACTTGAGCCACAGCACCACTTCCAGCTTTTGTTGTGATTAATTGAAGTTAAGAGTCTCATGGACTTTCTTGCGCGGGATGGCTTTGAACCACACGTGATCCTCAGATCTCAGCTTCCTGAATAGCTAGGATGACAGGTATGAGCCTCTGTTGCCTGGCTCTTAGGTAAGTATTCTTGATCCACAGTTCTAGCCTAATGTTTTCCTGGTTATTTTGAGTAGCTAGGATCACAGGCATGAGCAATCAATGACTACTGAGAAACAGCTTTTAAAAAGATGTTTCTCTGATATAAATCAGGTGTGCTTTAGCTTCTATGCAGACATTGTAGAAAAGAATGCCTGGAAAATAATTCTTTCTGAATGCAGTCGAAAGTAGATCCAGGATTTTTTTGGGGGGGGAACAGAAATAATACGGTTAATAAACATAGTTTACAAGTTGAAATTATTTGATATCTATAGTTTAATTAATTACCTTTTTTGCTTCATATGTAGTTGTCTCCCAGAATCCCCAAGGGCTTAGTTCTGCACAAAACAGTGTAGTTCTTGTTTATAACCTGTGCCTATCCTCCTGAATGCTTTAAATCATCTTTAAGTTACTTTTAACACTTAATATAATATGAATGTTGTATAAATAGTTCTTTCTGTATATTGCATAAGGAATGATAGCAAGAAAAAAATGTTTTATATATGTTCAGTACAGATACAAGTTTTTCTTGAACATTTTTAGCTCATAGTTGGTTGAATCCATGGATTCAACCTGTAGATATAAGAGACTAACTAGAAGGGGTACAGCTGCTCAAGTGGTAGAGCAATCACCTTGAACTGAAGAACTCAGGGACAGTGCCCAGGCCCAGAGTTCAAGCTCCATGATTGACAAAAAGAAAATAAGTGATCTGAGTCCTGTAATCCAGCTAGCTACTTGGGATGGAGATAGGAGATTTGCAGTTTGAGGCCAGCTCTATTTCAAAAAATAAATAAATTTGACATGGTGACCATGCCTATAATCTCAGCTACCCAGGAGGCCACCTAATCAAAATCTGAAGACCCAAGGGAAATACAAACTAAAGTAAAAAGGGATTGAGAGTGTGCAAAGGATGACTGACAGCATGGCTCAGATAATAGAGCACTTGCCTAACAGGTACAAAGATCTGAATCCAAACCTACTACCCCCAAAGAAGAAAATAAAAATAAATAACTTAGCCATGATCTAACTTAAACCCTAAAACACAAGTCTATTACTAAAACCTTTTAATAATTTTACAAAGAGTTAGTACAACATGGAATTTAGATTGTGTAGGTTTACTGTCTTCAGTTCTTTTTTTTTTTTTTTTTTGTCGGCCATGGGGCCTGAACTCAGCCTGGGCACTGTCACCCTCAGCTCTTCAACTCAAGCGCTGTACCACTTGAGCCACAGTGCCACTTCTGCCTTTTTCTGGTTATGTGCTGCTGAGGAATCAAACCCAGGGACTCATGCATTCAGGCAAGCACTCTACCACTGAGCCACCTTCCCCTATCTTAAGTTCTTAATAGGAATGTATACCTTTGTTTCTTATGCAGAGTGTGATCATAATATCCACCTCATAAAACTGTGATCCTGATTGAGAGTTAATATTAAGTGAATAAATCTTTTAGGACATATCAAGTACTTCAGCATATAAAAGCATCAACTGTAAATAAGTTTTAAAAATTAACCAGCTCCGGTTAGGTTTTAATTTTGACTACTTGGACGTATATTTTTCCCTCAACTATAATTGATGCCAGAAGTTATCCATGTGGTTCTGGTCTTTGACTCTGGAGGAAGTCTTGTCAGAAGTCATCTTCACAGAGGTGTATTCTATGGATTGGTCTTTTGTAGCCTTTGTAATCTTACCTCTCCAATCATGCCTTTGACCCTTGCATTGTTAGAGTTAAATCTGTGACTTCTACACTAGGGTCTAGTTGAGTGCCTTTCTTCTAAGGACATGTCTTCTGACTAGCATTCTAGGCAGTTCCAAAGTTCCCTGTCCTTGGAATAGAAGACTGTAATACACATCCTACCTAAAGAATTTTAAAGTTTGTAGTATATAAACAGTTTTTACCTTGAAACAAAAGTAATTGTTCTAAGACTTAACAGAAATTATTGAACTTGTGAAAGTATTTCTTCTTGGGGAAGGGAAGAGCTAGGCAAAGAAAAGGAAAATATTCTTATTATGATTTGGATCCATATAGTGACTATAGAAATAAGGATGAGGCCAGGTGTCGGTGGCTCTTTTTTTTTTTTTTTTGTCGGTCATGGGGCTTGAACTCTGAGCCTGGGCGCTGTCCCTCAGCTCTTCAGCTCAAGGTGAGCGCTCTACCACTTGAGCTACAGCGCCACTTCCATCCATGAGACTCTTATCTCCAATTAATCACCAGAAAACCCGAAGGAGTGCTGTGGCTCAAGTGGTAGAGTGCTAGCCTTGAGCTGAAGAGCTGAGGGACAGCGCCCAGGCCCAGAGTTCTAACTCCACGACCTACCAAAAAAAAAAAAGGTAGGAACAAAATAAGATGACCTCCTGTTACTTTCAGATTCTTTCCAGAAATTGAAATTGAGCCTGAAAGATAATAGAATGTACCAAAAAAAAACAAAACTTTTCATTTTTTCCCCTGTTCATTTGTTGTTGTTTTTGTTGTTGTTTTACTTTTTTATTATTGGCAGTGAGTTACAAGAGGAACACAGGAAAATCATGTTTTTCTTCCATGCTATTCATTTAGCTTTTGTTTTAAAAAACTGTTTTGAGTCTATCATAAAACTTTGAAAAACATTTGTCACTTTTATTTTCTAAGTGTTTTCCTTCCATACAGGAACTTTGCATTATTGATCGCGACTAATTTGTGTGTTTTTCTTTTTTTTCTTTTTTTCTTTTTGCATGCTGTCCCCTGTGTTGGAACTCTCAATAGAGAGTAAGTTGGTTCAATATTTGTTAGAAAGCTAACTTGCTGCATGATTGTGACATTAACCCTTTTTCTCTGTTTTCTCTCCTGAAGAATTCATGCAGTGTTGGACCCTTTGTAATCCACGAAATGCTACTTGCAGTTATGCAAACTATCATTCTGTTTGGAGATGTGCTTTTTAATCTACTAATTAATCTAATTTATGTTCTTCTGTTCTGTATTTGATGACTGGCACACCTAAGAGAGTGAGTGTAAGAAAAGGCTGCCTCAATTGTAATAGCTCAAATATTTAATTCTTTCTCAACATATGACAGTTGTCAGCTATATAGGATTATAAATTGATTCCATTGAAAGTTAAAAATAGTACTCAAGTTTCATCAATTGTTTTTGTCCAACACTGGAACTCAAACTCAGCCCCTGATACTTTTACTCATTAGCTAGAGCTCTACCAAATAAACCATGCCTACAATACTGTTTCACAATTGTATAAAAAAAAATCACCTAACCCTACTTCTTTGTGTGTACTTTCTAAAATTCTGTTCCCATCATTCTATTAAAGCAAACCTAGAACAGTTTACTCTCTGTTCTGTCTTTTGAAATAAAAATTTCATTCCTCGAATATCAACATCCAAGAGCAACTTTATAATTAAGCTCAAAATTATGTGTCTGTTTCCCATATATTACGGATATGGCTATCCATATTATATGTATATCAATTATATATGTGATCAATTTGTAAATGCTACTAACAGGATATAAATACCTGTTTAAAAAGTAAGAGTGGGGCTGGGAAGGTGGCTCAGTGGTAGAGCGCTTGCCTTGCATGCCTGAGGCCCTGGGTTCGATTCCTCAGCACCACATAAGCAAAAAGAAAAAAGCCAGAAGTGGCGCTGTGGCTCAAGTGGTAGAGCACTAGCCTTGAGCTGAAGGAGCTGAGGGACAGCGCCCAGGCCCAGAGTTCTGGCCCCACGACCGGACCCAAAAAAATAAAAAATAAATAAAAAGTAAGAGTGTAATTCTATATGTAGAATGATATAAATTACATATCTATATTTTTATCCAGCTACTCATTACATCTAACTGCTTTAGACACAGTAGTTTAAGACTTTAGCTAAAATGTATTCTTAGCTAGAATTCTATGAGGGGAAACTCTTTATTCGGGGAAGAAAACCAATTATAGTTGACAACCAATTATAGGGTAATTTTTACTTAGGATACAGTCTTCACATTCATCAAACAACTTTGTATTGGTTCCTTAGTCTGTAGGTAAGTTTGAGCTTGGTTCCAATTGGTCATGCAAGAATGAATAGAAATAGAGTGTTGACCATGCACAGTGGTGAACATCTATAATCTCAAAACTAGGGAGCATCGAGGAGTATTGGGGGTTTGTGGCCAGCCTGAGCTACATGGTAAGACCCTGTCTCGGAAAGAAAGAAAGAGAAAATTTATTTCCAAACAGTATGGTTCAGGTACCACCATAAATAGCTAGTCCCACTATGAGTTCAAAGTGGGGAAGAACTAGAAATCCTAGAAGCTTTTTGGCTGAGACTTGAGTGATAAACTTCATAGAACATAACATTATGTATGTATATGAATGGAGGGTGGAATGGGGGCCAGCAGTGGAGGGAATCATTAAAACCCATAGGTTACATGAGATGTATGTGAAGGGAAAGAGATAGTCTACATAACCAGATAGGCCTATATCAATTTGGAGGTTAGAACCTTAATGACAGTTTGAGGGACTATCCTACAGACAAAGGAGGTGGAGAGAACATACGGATTTTATTTGTTATATCCCAATCTTAGAGTAAAGAAAAAGCACGAGTTGGTAAACAACCTGAACCTGTAGCCTAAATATGTCCTGTAGCCTATTTTTGTAAATACAGTTATATTGGAAAGCAGCCATGTTTATTTATGCTTATTTTTATGTGTAGCTTCTATGGCTGTGCTAGGAGGATAGGTATGTGAGATGGTTGTGTGAGATATGGTTTATGAAGGCTCAAATATTTACTATCTGGCTTGTTATAAAAATTATTTGATGACCAGAGCCCCTAGTATATAGGTAGTTGCCGTAATCCAGACCTGCAATTAGAAGTGCTTGATGTGCCTATTGCTATCATGTGGTAAATAAAGCTACTCTGGAGATTTCTGGGACCTTGTAGGATAGGTAGAGCAGAGAGGCCTGTCACCTTATAATGAAGGGAGAATCAGGATGAAGACATACATACACACAATAAATGAAAGGGAATGCCTGACAACAAGAAAGAAGACAAATAAGAGGAACACAGTGTTAAGTGTCAGAATGGTGAAATATACAGAGCTTAAGAAAAAGCTAGTCAGGTGCTAGTGGCTCATGCCTGTAATCCTAGCTACTCAGGAGGCTGAGATCTGAGGATCTCAGTTCAAAGCCAGCACAGGCAGAAAAGTTCCTGTAAAACTCTTATCTCTAATTAATTAATTAAACTCAAAAACTGGAAGTGGGGCTGTGGCTTAAAGTGGTAGAAGGGTAGCCTTGAGCAAAAGAGCTCAGGGACAGTATCAGGCCCTGAGTTCAAGCCCCACAACAGACAGAGAAAGAGAGAGAGAGGAAAAAGAAAAGAAAGGGAGGGAAGAGAAAGAGAGGAAGGAAGCTATTACATATCACAAATAGAAGTGAAGTAGTGGAACAATCAGATGAAACTTCAGAGAGAAATTCCTGGGATGGCATATTCTGAAAATAAAGGGTTTAGGTAAGGAATCAACAAGTAAAGCTAGAAGCTGGGAGTGTTGGGTTACATTATCATCCTATTTACTCAGGAGGCTAAGATCAGAAGGATCTTAGTTTAAAGCCATCCCTATCAAAAAGTTTGCAAAGAGCTGGGTGCTGGTGGCTCACACCTCTAATCCTAGCTTCTCAGGAGGCTGATATCTGAGATTGTGGGTCAAAGCCAGCCCAGGCAAGAAAGTCCATGATACCCTTATCTCCAGTAAACCACTCAAAAACCAGAAGTGGCACTAAAGCTCAAAGTGGTAGAGCACTAGCCTTGAGTACTCAGGGACAATGCCCAGGCCCTGAGTTCAAGCCCCAGGACCAACAAAAAAAAGTTTGAAAGACCCCCCTTCTCAACCAATAAAAAACTGAATGGTGTGTGGTGAGGACCTGTTACCCCAGCAACACGAGTATAAATAGAAGAGCCATGGTCCAGGTAGCTCAGGCAAACAATGAGACCCTGTTTGAAAATAACAAAAGTGAAAGGGCTAGAGATGTGGCTCAAGTGGTAGAGTGTCTGCCTAGCTAGCAAAGTCCTGAGTTGTTGAGACCTAAGTACCTCAAATATAAAATACATAATGATAAATAAAGGGGGAGAAGACCACACTCAGAAGGCAAAATGCAACATAGAAATACTGGCCTTAAGAAGAAATAAAATTGGATACTCATTGGAAAAAATGAGACTTCGAAAATGAGATACAGAAAAAAATCAAGAAATAAAGCGGTACAGAATTTTGTTAATGATAGTAAAATGCATGAGGTAACCCATCTAGTAAATAGAGCAGACACTGCCTGAGGACAGATAGTATGTAAAGTTTCTGTTTTTACAAATACAGAGCATCTTCAGCAAATAGCTTAATTGCATTTTTTTTCAGTTGTGGGGGGCTAAATTCTGGGCCTGGGTGCTGTCCCTTAGCTCTTTAGCTCAAGGCTAGCACCCTACCACTTGAGCCACAGCACCACTTCCAGCTTTTTTTCTGCTTATGTGGTACTGAGGAATTGAACCCAGGGCCTCACGCATGAAAGGCAAGCACTGTATTACCAAGCCATCTTCCCAGCCCTTAGTTGCACTTTTTTTATCTTTAACTCAGATTCAGATGTTAAAGATTAGTTATAACTAATACAGGAAATCCTTCATTATTCCATAAGAAAGTAATGTTCATATGCTCAATAGGAAATGGACTCATTACCTTGTTCATGTAACTATAACCCTTCTGTACAGTATCTTTACAATAAAATATATGTATTTAAAAAATATAAGAAAATAATGTTCGTGTAAAATTGCATAAAGGATTTAAGAAATGAAATGTGCTTTGAAAGCCAAATGCTTTTAATTCTCAAATTAGCCTGATAATCCTTGTCATAATTCAGTATTTTTTAAGTAACATAGTTTTAATCATCTGTTCTGCTTTTGATTTCTCACCGTGCAGGGCAGTATAGCTGAAACTCTTGAAAGATTTTTTTCCTCTTTACCTAGAAGTAAATTTTCAGTACAGCAATGAATTTCTTTTTTTTTTTTTTTTTTGGCGGTCTACCTGAACTCTGCTCCTGGGCGCTGTCCCTCAGCTCTTCAGCTCAAGGCGAGCTCTCTACCGCTTGAGCCACAGCGCCACATCCAGCTTTTTCTGTTTATGTGGTGCTGAGGAATCGAACCCAGGGCCTCATGCATGCAAGGCAAGCGCTCTACCACTGAGCCACCTTCCCAGCCCATGCAATGAATTTCTTATGAAATTATAGCTTGTTGTTGGTCACTTCATAAATATTTTAATGAAGTATATCACTTAGGAATGTTAGCTTCTGTCCACCATAAAATTCAGTTTCTTGAACTGGAAGATTAATGTTGGGACCAAATATAAAACCCACCAATAGAGCTCAAGAATACTACTTATAGCACGCAAGACTAATAGGAGCTTTTTTTTTTTTTGAATCACTAAAATATAGTTGTATTTTATGCTGAATTACATTGCTTTAGGCTGACTTTTAGTAATTATTTATGGTTTAAAATTACTTTTGGGGCAGCTTTTGTAAATAGTAAATCTCATACAAAATGTTTGTGGTAATTACCATTTTGAGAAATTTGAGGATTCTCTACTTAACCCACTACATCAGATAAATTTAATACTTTAAGGTGGCTATTAGAATAGTCATCCTCTAATTTATTCAGTGCCACTCTTCCAAAAAGTTGTATAGTCCTCCCCCACATATCTTATAAAATGGATTTCAGTCTAGCTAGTTTAAGCTGTGCCATCACTGATAACATTAGGTGTGCCAGCCATTATGGCCAAAGTTTCTTTACCAAGTGATGCTGCATGGAATAGCTAATTGTCAAACTTCTGCAGAAGTTGGATAACAGCTGAGATATACTCTTGTATCACAGACTCCAGTGAAAAGCAAGAGAGTTTTTTTTTCCGCTTGGCTGCCAATCGCTGTGCTTCTGATTCCTGTTTTCCCTTCTATTTCCGTATTGAATTGAGCATAGAGGTCAATATTTCCTCCTTTTTTTTCCCCCCTCCTCCACCTCTTCCCTTTATCAACTTTAGGTTTTCAGCATGTTTTTGGAGACTCTAGTAGATTTCATACAAGTCCACAAAGATGATCTTCAGGATTGGCTGTTTGTACTGCTGACACAACTGCTGAAAAAAATGGGTGCCGATTTGCTTGGGTCTGTTCAGGCAAAAGTTCAGAAAGCCCTAGATGTTACCAGGTAATATTTTACATACACATTTCAAGTTACCCAGATAATTAGGAATATTTAATTCCTATGCTAAAAACCCATATTTCTGAGTCCTTTCAAACAAGCTTTCGTTTGTGTTTGTCTGTTTTGTGTTTTGGCAGTATTGAGTATTGAGACCAGGGCCTTGTACATTAGAGGTAACTGCTCTGCCACTTTAGCTATACTCCCAACCATTTTGGGTTTTTTTGTTTGTTTGTTTTTTCTAGTCATGGGGTGTGAAATCAGGGCCTGAGCACTGTCCCTGGGCTCTTCAGCTCAAGGCCAGCGCTCTACCACTTGAGCCACAGAGCCACTTCTGGTTTTCTGGTGGTTTTATTAGAGATAAGAATGTCAGGGACTTTTCCCTCATGGACTGGCTTTGAACAGCGATCCTCAGATCTTAGCCTCCTGAGTAGCTTCGATTACAGGCATGAGCCACAGGCGCCTGCTAACCATTTTGTTTTTGACATAGTCTCATTGCTAGCTTTGTCCAGGCTGGCCTCAAGAAGCTGTGATTGCAGGTGTACACCACTACCTGGCTTCTTTCAAACAGATTGCATGGGCCCCATCTCAAAATCATTAATTTTGCCTGTGCACGCTGTACATATAATATAGCATTATTTCTTTGATCTAACCCTCTATTTCTTTTATAAAAAAATTTATTGATTTGAGTAATTCAAGACTGGCATTTTATTTTGGGTCCAGGTGTGATGGTGCACAGTTATAACCTCAGCCCTCTTCTGACAGACAGAGGCAGAAGAATCATGAGTTCAGAACCCATCTAGACTACACAGTGAGACCATATCCCAGAAAGTGGGCTTAAGTGTGTATCTACAGTTGTACCTTGGCCCTTTAGCTGAGATCAGCTTAATGCCTATCTGCAAAGTAGGATTGAAGATTAATTGGATCTAATGCAAAAATAAAAAGGTTTCTCAAATTTTAAAAACATGCTTTGTATTACAATTAAATATTCAAGTCTCTTTTCAGAAGATTTGGAACTCGATATAGTTATACCTTTTTGCATAAATTAAAAGCGACTCATTTCAAATATCTATAAACTAAGCAGATTTTAGGGAAATAATGTCTGAGAATATTGAACTTTTTACTGAATATATTTTTCTGATTAAATGTATACTATCTTGCCTCAAGTATCCAGATTGTTTTTGGTATAGTATTTTTTCTTAACCCTTTGGCTGGGTATAATTTGTATGTTTGTATCTGAGAATGCTTTTATTGTATACCATACCATATACTACATAGAGATATTTGTTACTAATCATAGTTTCTTAAATGTAGACTTACCAACTTAATTTTTTGTACTGTTTGACTTTGTTCTTATTTCAGAGAATCTTTTCCAAATGACCTTCAATTTAATATTCTAATGAGATTTACGGTTGATCAGACCCAGACACCAAGCTTAAAGGTAAAAAATTAATGTCTTGAACTATGATTAGTTGAAGTATTTTATTAGTAAAACGATGTTAGAATTTGTTTTTCTGTCACATGTAGAAGCTGTTCAATCAGTGGGTTTTGTTTTTATAAAATTTCAGACAGTCAAGCCAGCACTTCGGGACCAGATTCACTGTTTTTGGAGCTCTAAGGTTTTTTGTTTTTGTTTTAAACTGCATTATTTCTTAACTATCCCTGCAGTGCCTCAGATAATGTTTGTATGCCTCTATACTCAACTACTAACCTCTGTAAGCCTCTTATTATGCATGTATAAATTTGATTTCAAAAGTTGTCCAAATGCCCAGTTATCCTTTGGAGAAGCTTACTGGGATATGTATGTAGGAGGCATCACACATATGGCCATCTAACCTTAGCTGGTAATGCAAAATCGCTTTATAAATTCTTACCTTATTTTATGTTTGTCATTTCCCCATACTTTTTTTTCTTAGCTGTAATTTTAGGAATTTTAGTAGTTACTTTAAGCTGAATTATCAATTTTGCCAATGTCCTCATTTTAATACACAAAAAATTTAATTTCAGTGCTGTTCAACAGTTCTCTTTAACTGAAATAGTAACTTTTTCTGTAGTGTAATTTTTCTCTGAAATGTGCATAAAATTGTAATCAGGAATAACAAGCTTTTTTTTTTTTTTTTTTTTTTGGTCAGTCGTGGGGCTTGAACTCTGGGCCTGGGCGCTGTCCCTGCGCTCTTCAGCTTAAGGCAAGCACTCTACCACTTGAACCACAGTGCCACTTCCGGTTTTCTAGTGGTTTATTGGAGATAAGAGTCTCATAGATGTTCCTGCCTGGGCTGGCTTTGAACTGCAATCCTCAGATCTCAGCCTCCTGAGTAGCTAAGATTACATGCATGAGCCACCGGGCCTGGCAGGAATAACTTGTTTTTATTTGCATACATTTTCAGTTCTGTGGAAACTTGATGGATTCCAATCTATGATTGTAATGGTTAAATTTAACATAAAAGATTTAAAAAATATAATATTAAGGCTAAGCCACTGAATTCTTTACTATTTTTTTTCATGAGCTGTATCTAAGGAGATTAAAGTCAGGGAAATAACAAGCATATGTATCTTGTATTTTTCGCTCTATTCTGCACGAAATGTATTTCCACAAGTATTACTGCTCAATTGGTTTTTCTCTTAAGTTTCTGAATATGATGTGCCTCAAAAATCACAAATTATATGTTTTTTACCTTGGGGTTGACTTACAGTCAACATAAAGTTAATTTCTCGGAACTACTTTATTGTTTTGTTTTTTATTTTGGGTCCGGTCGTGGGGCCTGAACTCTGAGCCTGGGCGCTGCCCCTCAGCTCTTCAGCTCAAGGCTAGCGCTCTACCACTTGAGCCACAGCACCACTTCCGGCTTTTTTTTTTTTGCTTATGGGTGCTGAGGAATCAAACCCAGGGCCTCAAGCATGCAAGGCAAGCGCTTTACAACTGAGCCCTGTATTACCATTTTCTATACAACATATTAAATTAGAAATTCTAAAGGGTATGATATGGACATCTCTGATAGATACTAAAGTGCTGTCAACAATGTACATAGAAATTATTATGGGCCAGTGAAAATAAGTCAGATTCAGAACTAAGAGTGAAAGACAAAATTGCATTGCTGAAAACTTGAAGAGAAAGAATGAAAAGGGAATAATGTAGGAAGTAGACAAGCTAGAGTTAACTCCCTGTTAGAAAAACAAAAACATTGTACTAGAAGCACAGATAATTTCCTTAAAAGCCTAAGGCATTTATGTATAAATATATACTTAATATAGGAATAAAAACAATAGCAAAGCCATAAGGAAAAATCTCTTAAACTGATATTTTAGAATAGTACACATATTGAAACTGTACCTCATGCCAGAAATAAAACCAAATTTCAGGTAGGTGACAGAATTAAGCATAAAAAAAATTGACAAGCCAACCATCTGAGGACTCACACTTGTAATCCTAACTTCTCAGGGGCCTGAGATCTGAAGATGGTGGTTCAAAGCCACCTAGAACAGCAAAGTCTATCTCCCATTAACTATGAAAAAGTCAGAAGTAGAGCTATAGGTTAAGTGGTATAGTGCTAGCTTTGAGGAAGAAATGCTCAGGAACAGCTCCAGGTCCTAATATCAAGCCCCAGAAATCCCACACACATGCACGCGCACGCGACAGGTTATAGACAAACATAAGTAATTTGAATTGGACTATAAGACCTTTAAGAAAACCTATTGATAAAAATCATTGATCTTTTGGATAAAGACAGTTGATATTTGTATAAATGTTTACATCTTCAGTGGTTTGTCATATGGCAAACATCCAATCAAAGCCAGATGTTGGTGATACATACCTGTAATCTCAGCACTCAGAAGGCTGAGGCAAGGAAACCTCAGGTTCAAGGCCCACCTGGGCTACATAGGGAAACCTGTCTCAAAAAGCAGGTATAGGCTGGGGATGTGGCTTAGTGGTAGAGTGCCTGCCTAGCATGCATGAAGCCCTGGGTTTGATTCCTCAGTACCACATAATCAGAAAAGGCCAGAAGTGGCATGTGGCTCAAGTGTAGAGTGCTAGCCTTGAGCAAAAGAAGCTCAGAGACAGTGCCCAAGCCCTGAATTCAAGCCCCAGGACTGGCAAAAAATAAAATACAAGCCAGGTGCTAGTGGCTCACGCCTATAATCCAGCTACTCAGAAGGCTGAGATCTGAGGGTCGAGGTTCAAAGCCAGCCAAACAGGAAAGTCTGAGACTCATTTCCGGAAGTGGCACTGTGGCTCAAGTGGTAGAGCGCTCACCTTGAGCTAAGGAGCTGAGGGCCAGTCTCCCAGGCCCAGAGTTCAAGCCCCAGGACCAACAACAACAAAAATGAAAACAAAGCCTGTAAATTGATGCTCATTTATTGGTTCAGTATAGTTACTCATCTTTAGCTATTTATACTAATAGATGGTAGTAGTGCCTCAGAATATTTCATACTACTGTAATTTATATTACAGTTGGGCCATATGCTGTAAAACTACCCAGATGTCTCTTCCCCTATCTACTACACAATTCTGATGGCTAAAAGGTTAACTCTAGGTGTTGATGACACAGTTCTTCAAAATTATAAATCTCAGTTTTTAATCGACAGGTTTAAAACTATGAATTTATGCTGTACAGTATATATTGCTACATATATTCATTGAAGAATGGCTAACTCAAGTTATTTACATTTATACTTACATATGCTACATATATTCATTGAAGAATGGCTAACTCAATTTATTTGCATTTATACTTCATATACTTATATGGTGTTGACATACTGAAATTCACTGTTAGCAATTTTTAAATTTGCAGATATAGATAGTTATTAACTACAGACTGTCATGTCCAGTTGATCTCTTAAAGTTAGTCTTCCTAACAGAAATTTCCTGTCCTTCAAGCAGTGTCTTCTTAATTCCCCAGCCTCTGATAACCACTACTTTACTCTTTTTCTTTTCTTTTCTTTTTTTCCCATCAGCTGGATCTCACAGTCCTTCTACCTCAGTGTCCCAAATTCTGGGACATGCACTGGCATACTTGGTTTCCCTTCTTTCTTTAAGAAATAGTTTGTTCCTTGTCATATTACACATATAAATGAGATGGTACAACATTTTTCTTACTTTCCCTGGCTGATTTCACTTAATATATTGTCTTCTGGCTTTATCCATATTGTCACAAATACCAAGATTTCCTTTTTTAAGGCTAGTAGTATTTTTGCTATATTCACATTTACTTTATCCTTTCAACCATCAGTAAACACCTAAGTTGATTCCACATGTTGGCTATTACAGTATGCTGCCATGAACATATCTCTTCAACATACTGATTTTCTTTTTTTTTTTTGGGGGGGGGGGTCCGGTCATGGGGCCTGAACTCTGGGCTTGGTGCTGTCCCTCAGCTCTTCAGCTCAAGGCTAGCACTCTACCACTCGAGCCACAGCGCCACTTCCCACTTTTTTCTTTTTGCTTATGTGGTGCTGAGGAATCGAACCCAGGGCCTCAAGCATGCAAGGCAAGCGCTCTAGGGGTTGAACTAAGGGTCTCTTGCTTGCTAGGCAGGTAGTCTATCACTTGAGCCACACCCCAGACCTTTTTTTTTTTTGCTTCAGTATTAAGAGCCTCATTCTTTCACACAGAACTCAGACTATGATCCTTTTACTTATAGCCTCCCACAAGGTAGGATCACAAGCACATACCACTATGACAGGCTTATTGGTTGAGATGGAATCTAGTTGACTTTTTTCAGACCTGGCCTTAAACTACAATCCTGTCAGTCTCCATCTCCTAAGTGTGAGCCACTGTGCCTGACTTCTAAGAAATGATCATTTCTTAGTCTGTTTGTTTACTTTCAACTTGAGTTCCTTATGTATTACTTATGGTTTTCCTTATCACATGTATTATTTGCAAGTATGTCTTCCTTTATGTAGGTTGTCTCCTTACATTGTTTGCTTTGTTGTTGTGCAGAAACTTTTATGGTATGCAACATGATTTTTTTTTTCTAGTCCTGGTCTGGAACTCTGGGCCTGGGTGTTATTGCTGGGCTCCTTTTGCTCAAGGCTAGCACTCTACCACTTGAGCCACAGCACCACTTCCGGCTTTTTCTGTGATTAATTGAAGACTGTCACAGATTTTTCTGCCCAGCCTGGCTTTGAGCCACAGGTGATCCTCAGATCTCAGCCTCCTGAGTAGTTAGAATTACAGGTGGGAGTCACCAGTGCCTGGCAACATGATTGTTTTAATTGGATATATTCTCATTGGTTTGGATCTTTTGCCTATAAAATTATGAAAACTTCTTAAAATTCATTCATTATGTGAAACAATATAATATGATTACTGTCTTGATGCTGTTGTTGCTAGAAGCAGAGTCAGACCTTATTTTAATACTTTGCTCCATATTTATCTACTTTGCTTCCTACTCATCAGCTTCCCAGAGATCTTATTTGGCCTGAGTGAGAACAATGACAGCAAAAAGGAAGAACATAGAAAGACTGGTTACATTAACTTTGGGCAATACCTGTTCGAGTTGCTGTTTTAATCTGATATTTAAACTTTCCCTTTTAAAAAAAATGGCAACCCAGCACTTAATATGTGTATAGTATCTTCTGACTCCTAGGGCTGTGAACTGGGCCAGGTGTAGTTGCTGAAGTGCACAGGTCCAGCCTGGGACTGCAACATAAGGTGTAGTCCTTGAACATCAGTAGTGGTTGAGAGGAGCCTGGGAGATGTGGATCACATATAAGAGCTCTGATGCACTGCATGTGATTAGTACTATCTTATTCAAGAGTTGCTAACAGATGGTTATAGGTATGCTTGCCACACACACACACATAAAAGCAAAGGGTTAAGAGTGAATTTGTTCATTTGCTTGATTGTAATAATTTTCACTCTGTGTATATACATATATTAAAATATCATGCTGTACATTTTAAATATGTGCAAATAATAAAACTTCCTTTAAATCAATCAAATAGGAGATTTTAAGTGTTAACACCAAAAAATTAAGTTTGTGAGCTAGTACATATGTCAGTTAGCTCAATTTAGCCATCTGACAATGTGTATATACTTAAAACATCCTATTTTACACCCTAAATTTATACAATTTTTATTTGTCAGTTAAGAGGATAAATTAGCTGGGGATATAGCTCAGTGGCAAATTGCTTGCCTAGCATGTGCAGAGCCCTGGGTTCCATCCCCAAACATGGGGGAAAAAGTAACTTTTTCAAAAATAAAATACACATATAAAATTTGAGAACCACTTCTGGAAACTGTAAAATATTGGAGTATTTTTAGGTTTTTTTTCCCCCTAGCATGAGAAAGGATAGAACTTAATATTGGCTTACAAAAAAAGGATTACAAAAAGGGGGAGGGGCTGTCTAGGAAGAGGCATGTTTGTTTTAGGACTAGCTCCATCTCCTGCTGGTTTGAAACCCTCTGCCACCCCATGCCCTCACACATCAAGCTTTATTGGAAGAATAATGAGGCCTTTTGTACCAATATGTGTTTACTTTTTTCATCCAAATAGGAATTTTCCTTTTTTGTTTAGGTGTGGTTTTTTTGTTTGCCAGTCCTGGGGCTTGAATTCAGGGCCTGGGCACTGTCCCTGAGCTGCTTTTGCTCAAGGCCAGCGCTCTACCACTGGAGCCACAGCACTACTTCCAGCCTTTTCTGTTTATGTGGTGCTGAGGACTTGAACCCAGGGCTTCAGGCATGCTGCTCTCAAGTGCTCTACCACTAAGCTACCTTCCCAGCCCAGATTATCTTTGCTTTAATGGTACTTGTATAAACATTTTTGTGAAACTTCTCACAGTTGATGGACCTATTAAAGGTTGATTTCATGTTGTGAGACTTACCTAGTATTTAAAAAGAAAAAAAAATCACTTTATATTGCCCATCATGATTACAGGTTTATTGATTATTTTCATATACTTTTATTTACTTCCCCCAATATGAAATCACTAAGTGATCAAGACTGGTTCCCTCTAAGGCTAGCTGAGAGTCGGCTATTCAGGCTGAAGGCAGACTCCAGGAGATGGTTTTAATCTTGTTGAAAAAGTCTTCAGCAGTTGTTCATACTTGAAGAATGAAATGCCTGGGACCTAAGCTCTAATACATGGGAAAGCAGAAGCCCATCACCGGTAGATAAGTGTGTATATAATTTTTGATGTTGTTGAAATTGTTGCTCATTTTCAACTTGTCAAAATGTAATCATGTGATTAGTTCTGCAGTGTTTTCCAGTGTTTCACAATGAACATCTTTCCTGTTCTCTCTCATTGTGCTTACCTCTGCAGGTGAAGGTTGCTATTCTTAAATACATAGAAACTCTGGCCAAACAGATGGATCCAGGCGATTTTATAAATTCCAGTGAAACTCGACTGGCAGTGTCTCGGGTTATCACTTGGACAACAGAACCCAAAAGCTCTGATGTTCGGAAGGTGTGTTTTAATATGAGGTTTAGAAGATAAATTGGAAAGGCAAGTCAGTAGTTTTGGATTGCCAGTGAAGGTAGCTATTAGCCATTATTTACTAGTCTGTTGATAAACATAGGCATTTTATTTATCTCTGTTGGTAAGTAAGGACTTTCTATCATTGAAGATCAGCAGAAAAAATTGACATTTGGTCATGCAGGTAGTCAATCCTATATCAAACTACTATATCTACCTATCTATTGGTCTATCTACACGTGTGTGTGAGTGTGTGTGTGTGTGTGTAAACACATTCCTACATCAAGCTACTGCCTCTCTTATAGAAGCTACATTTGTCTTGGAGTAAATTATGTATCTTGTTTTTCAGTTGCCTGAGCTTTTGAAAAAGAAATTGTTAAATATCTGTTAATATTTTAGCATCTCTGCCATATATATGACTTATATTTTCCATATGCTCAAAAACAGACATTTTCTAGAAAGTTCCTTCTTAGACCCTCTTTCGTTATCACCTATTTATACAGAATTTCTCCTAACCCTGTTTATACAAATATCTTCCTTCAATTCAACATTTTCCCAAGACTTCTGGTCAATTCTTATCATTCATTTCTTATATCTACTTCTATTTACTCTTCTGTAGTGAATCATTTTTTTTACTATTTGCTCCAACATCACCCAGAATATGAATCTGTGATCTTTATTTATAGTGATAAATAAGAGCAAGCGTACACAATTTTCTCAAGTATGCATACTAGTCATAAAATACGCCTCAGTAGTTTTAAGCAATAGAAATAACACGACATATGTTCCTAGACCACAGTGGAATGAAATTAGAAGTCAGTAACAAAAAGAAATTTGGAAAACTAATGAATATATGAAATTTTAACTACTCAATCCTAAATAATCAGTTGGTCAAAGAAGACATGAAAGAAAAATTAAAAAATGCTTTGAGAAGAATGAAAATGAGACATTATCTAGGAAAAATTATACTTATTACCTGACTTATGGAATTGTAATCCCTCTGTTCAACACCTTAATAGTAACAATAAAATTATATTTTTTAAAAATGAGGTCATGACATACAAAAATGAAGCAGTGGATTGAGGGAGTTTTATCACTAACTTCATGCTTAGAATAAAATGAAGATCTTAAAAACCTAATATACCACTTTAAGATACTGGATAAAGGGGGCTGGGAAGGTGGCTCAGTGGTAGAGAGCTTGCTTTGCATGCCTGAGGCCCTGGGTTCGATTCCTCAGCACCACATAAAAAAAAAGCCAGAAGTGGCGCTGTGGCTCAAGGGGTAGAGCGCTAGCCTTGAGCTGAAGAGCTGAGGGACAGTGCCCAGGCCCAGAGTTCAGGCCCCATGACCAGACCCAAAAAAAAAAAAAAGATACTGGATAAAGAAGTACAAAGCAAACCCAAAGCAAAAGATATGATCATATTAAAGCAGAAACTAACAAACTAGATCTTAGGAGGGGAAAAAAAATAGAGAAAACCAGCAATACTAAAGCTTGTTCTTTGGAAAATCAAGAAACTTGACACTTGAATACTGGTGGTTCATGCCTGTAATCCTAATTATTCAAGAAGCTGAGCCAGGCGATGATTCCTCATACCTGTAATCCTAGCTATTCAAGAGGCTGAGATCTGAGGATTATGGTTCAAAACCAACACAGGCAGGAAAGTCTATGAGACTCTTTATCACCAATAAACTACTCAAAAAAAGCTGGAAGTAACACTGTGGATGAAGTAGTAGATCACTATCCTTGAGCACAAAGAGGCTCAGGAATAGTGTCAGGCCCAGTTCAAGCCCTAAGAGCAGCAAAAATAGAAGAAGAAGAAGCTGGGATGAAATCAGTTGGAAACTAGCATAGGCAGAAAAGTCCCCAATAAACTAACAAAAAGGAAGAGAAAAAAACTGACAAATCTTTACTAGATTAGTCAAGAGAAAACAAAAAAAATTACCATTTCTAATGAATGATAATGATCTAATTGATAATTTTAATGATAAGTGATGTGACAAATATGTACTGTTAAAATCTAAAAATAAATTTTATATAATAGAATAGAGTATAAAAGGCAGCTTTGATATTTAAAGGAGCCTAAGTTGTCATGGACTATAGTAGAAAACCACTAGAGAATATCTTAAGCTGATACAGTGTATAAGACTAGAGGCATGACTTAAGGGTTGCCTGATTAGCAAGAGAAAATTCTAGTCCTGACCAAAAAGGAAAATAATAATGTATCAACCTATGAGTATCTAATCTTCAGAAAGGAAAGAAAATGAAGTGAGAAACTGGAGAACTAAAACATTGAGATTGAGAAACACAAAACCTTTTCTTTAATTTTGGTGCTTTTGTTATTCATATATATTACTGACTTAAAATGAATTTTTAGGTTAATTATAAAATTCATGTGGTAGAACAAATTTGACAAAAAGCATTAATAAAAAACTGAAGGGACTGGGAAGGTGGCTCAGTGGTAGAATGCTTGCCTTGCATACACGAGGCCCTGGGTTCAATTCCTCAGCACCACAGAAGCAGAAAAAGCTGGAAGTGGTGCTATGGCTCAAGTGGTAGAGTGCTATCCTTGAGAAGAAGACCTGACGGACAGTACCCAGGCCCAGAGTTCAAGCCCCGCAGCCGACAGAAAGAAAGCTCAAAATACTAAAGCTATAGCAATGTATATCATATGATGTTAAATTAGAAACAAATAAGTCAATGAAACATTGAGGGCCAGAAACACTTACATCTACATGGAAGAGTCGTGCAGAAGGGTATCACTTCAAATCAAAAGAAAAGTATATACTTACTAGTAAATGGTTTGTATATCTGTGAGGGGACAACAGAAGCTTAATCTGTAAGCCAAAATAAACACTAGGTGAAGCAAACTATATTTTAACAACCATTAGTTAATTTGCTTCAGGTAATTTGAGATCCTTTCATTGTTGTAATTCTCGCAATATCATGAATTTTCATTTTTTTCATTTTTTTTGGGGGGGGGGTCCAGTCGTGGGGTGTGAACTCTGGGCCTGGGCGCTGTCCCTCTGCTCTTCAGCTCAAGGCTAGTGCTCTACCACTTGAACCATAGCACCACTTCTGGCCTTTTTCTGCTTATGTGGTACTGAGGAATCAAACCCAGGGCCTCACGCATGCGAGGCAAGCACTCTACCACTGAGCCACCTTCCTAGCCCCTCGTTTTTTTTTTTTAATTTTTTTTTGGGGGGGGTCCTGTTGGGTCTGAACTCTGGGCCTGGGCACTGTCCCTCTGCTCTTCAGCTCAAGGCTAGCGCTCTACCACTTGAACCACAGCACCACTTCCGGCTTTTTTCTTTTTTGCTTATATGGTGCTGAGGAATCGAACCCAGGGCCTCATACATGCAAGGCAAGCGCTCTACCACTGAGCCACCTTCCCAGCCCCTCTTTTTTTTTAATTTTTTATAGTTTCACTTTTTAATTTTACTTTGGAGCAATCCTTTAGGAAAAAAAAAACTTTATATAACTTTAAAAAAACAAAAAAAAAAAAAACAAGTTTTTATTTGTTGGTAATGGGGCTTGAACTCTGGGCCTGGGCGCTGTCCCTCAGCTCTTCAGCTCAAGGCAGCACTCTACCACTTGAGCCACAGCACCACTTCCAGTTTTCTGGTGGTTTATTGGAGATAAGAGTCTCATGAAGTTTCCTGCCTGAGCTGGCTTTGAATCTTGATCCTCAGATCTCAGCCTCCTTAGTAGCTAGGATTACAGGCGTGAACTACCAGCGCCTGGCCTGTAACATTGTTCAAAAAACGTGATGAAGCCGGGAGCTGGTGGCTCACGCCTGTAATCCTAGCTACTCAGGAGGCTGAGATCTGAGGATCACAGGTCAAAGCCAGCCTGGGCAGGAGAGACTGTGAGACTCCTATCTCCAATAAACCACCAGAAAACCGGAAGTGGTGCTGTAGCTCAAGAGGTAGAGTGCTCGCTTTGAGCTGAAGAGCTGAGGGACAGCGCCCAGGCCCAGAGTTCAAGCCCCACGACCCCGACAAACAAAAAACGTGATGATCCTTTTCTGGTTCATAAGTGTGATTAGTGAGTTCTGACGAGCTTGCATGACATGTGCCTCCCTCTAAGTCTTGTTACAATCTGAGCACAAGACCTATCTCACATGGGGGGAAAAAGTGGTGGCTTTGCAAGCATACATAGCTCAGGTGTTAAAGTGCCTTCTTAGCAAGTGTGAGACCCTAGTTTCAAGTCCTGCTACTGCAACGCAAATGAATGAAATATAGGAATATATATACTTAAAAAATTAGTATGAAAGCAAAAGCAAATAAAAATAACGTGCCAGTTACTGGTGACTCATGCCTGTAATCCTACTGACTCTGGAGGTTGAGTTCTGAGGATGTGGTTCAAAGTCCTGGGCAGGAAAGGCTAGGAGGTTCTTTTTTCTTTTTTTAAATACTTTTTTTATTGTAAAAATACTGTACAGAGGGGTTACAATTACATGAGTAAAGTAATGAGTACATTTCCTATCAAGCATTGTTACCTCCGCCTTTGTTTTTCCCCTACCATCCCTTCCATCCCACAACTATACTACCCCCGTCTGCCCCCCCACCTAAATTGTAAAGTTTGTTTTTCAACATAGTGGCTTGTATGTCTCATTGTTAACAATGGGTCGACCTGTATCCCTATTTAAACATTTTGTTTTTTCCCTTCCTCTCCCCAAATTAGAGAAATGTATATGTAAGATGCAGGGCACCAACATCAAATACAGTGAAAACGGGGGATATACCATGGGGGAGGAGCTTACAAAAACAAAAAACAAAAAAAGCACATGGTACATTATAAATACGTTAGGAACAATATCAAGAAAGAAAAACTACTTATGTCCGTATCTTGGGGATCATTTCGCTTAACATCATCTTATCTGGTCCTATGTACATAGCTTTTGACCTTTTCTGCTTATCCCAGACATACACTAGTTATTGCAAATAAGGGAAACCATAGGACCTATGTTTCTTTGGGCCTGGCTTACTTCGCTTAATATAATGTTTTCCAAGTCTTCCATTTCCTAACAAATGGGGCGATATCATTCTTTCTGATAGAGGCATAGAATTCGTGTGTGTGTGTCTGTGTGTGTGTGTGTGTGTAACACATTTTCTTGATCCATTCATCTACTGAAGGGCATCTGGGTTGGTTCCATATCTTAGCTATGGTAAATAATGCTGCAGTAAACGTAGTTATGCTGGTGGCTTTAGTATGGTCTTGTTTGTGATCATTTGGGTAAATGCCCAAAAGTGGGATTGCTGGGTCATAGGGAGCTTCTTATCTCCAATGAAGTCAAGCTGTGACTTAAGTGGTAGAGTTCTGGCCTTGAGCAAAAAAGCTCAAGGATAACACCTAGAACCTGAGTTAAAGCCCCAGGGTAGCACAAATAAATAAATATATCTTCCTTTTTGTTGAAAATAAGGTGAAGCTTTTTGTTTGACCATCATAGGAAGAAATGTGCGATAAGATAATGATCACCTATGAGTAATCAAAATACATTCATCATCTTTTTTCTTATGCTTTTATTTTTTAGGCAGCACAATCAGTGCTGATTTCTTTATTTGAACTTAATACCCCAGAGTTTACAATGTTATTAGGAGCTTTACCAAAAACTTTTCAAGATGGTGCTACCAAACTTCTTCATAATCACCTTCGAAATGCTAGCAATGGAACCCAGGTATTTATTTCTTGGTTATAGGATGATAGTATAGTTGACTTAACAATAATTGCTTTATTTTATATAAAGCAAACTGATCCTAGTATATGATTGTGCACATGCATTTAGCAGCATTTCCTGACAGACATTAATAGTCTCTTGGAGAAAACTATCCATTAAGCCTTTCTTGTTTGTATTAGAATTTGTGTATATAAGGTCATGGTAAACAGTGATCAGGGTATGAATAGGAAAATCACATGTGAGCAGAATATAGATGAGGTCCTAGCTTTGGAAGCCTTTAGAACATTGGGATATACTCTCAAGATGAAGCAATGCTTTTTTTTTTTTTTTTGGCTGGGGGTGGGGGTTAGTCATGGGCCTGAACTCTGGGCCTGGGCACTGTCCCTCAGCTCTGCAGCTCAAGGCTAGCACCCTACCACTTGAGCAGCACCACTTGAGGCTTTTTCTGCTTATGTGGTACTCAGGAATCTAGCCCAGGGCCTCATGCATGCAAGGTAAGCACTCTACCACTGAGCCAACTTCACAGCCCATGAAGCAATTCTCCTTTGAATACTAGCAAGGATGATTCATTCAGGGCTAACAAAGTTCTAAGTAGATATCATTAAGTGATTATAGGCTTATCAATCCATGTGTACATGAATACATAGGACTTTGTTCTGAGAAATTTAAGGTCTGAGAAAGTGAAGCACTATAAAGATGTGTGTAACTTATACTATACATAAAGAATTGACTGAAGTTTTAAAAAGAGAGACCTTTAATAACAGATAAAGGAGAATGTAGTTGCATTTGATGTGATAGGGTTACGGTAAAGTTTGATAGTTAAAAGTAACCTGAGAATAATTTCTTGAGAAACAAAACCACATTTCATTTTAAAACAAGAGTACCAAGTATAAAGCCCTTGAGTTCAAACCCCAGGTCTACGAACGAATTTTTTTAATCAATAAAGAAGAGGTCTGGGAAGATGGCTTAGTGGTAGAGTGTTTGCCTTGCATACATGAGGCCCTGGATTCGATTCCTCAGCACCAATAAGCAGAAAAAGCCGGAAGTAGCCCTGTGGCTCAACTGGTAGAGCGCTAACCTTGAGTTGAAGAGCTGAGGAATAGTGCCCAGGCCCAGAGTTCAGGCCCACAAACGCCACAAAAAAAAAGAAAGGAAGGAAGAAAAGAAGAAGTGTTGATTCATTATGTCTTTAGAAGTAGACAAAACAACATGGTCAATTTTACTTTGTGTCTTATTGAAAAGCCTTTGTAGACTCAGAAGGAATAAAATTTGGTTATTAGTAGTGGTTAAAAGAAGACAGTTAAAGCTGGGTGCCAGTGGCTCACGCCTGTAATCCTAGCTCCTCAGGAGGCTGAGATCTGAGGATCATAATTCAAAGCCAGCCCGGGCAGGAAACTTCATGAGCATCTATCTCCAATTACCACCAGAAAACCAGAAGTGGCGCTATGGCTCAAGCAGTAGAGCACTCACCTTGAACTGAAGAGCTCAGGGACAGGTCCCAGGCCCAGAGTTCAAACCCCTCAACTAGCCAGAAGAAGAAAAAAAAAAAAAAACAATTGACTAAGACAGGAAAATTACTTAAAATTTTCAGTTTAGGATTCTGTTGATACCCGAGAGAAAGAAGCAGGTATAAAGAGATAAGGTTCAAAGTATTAATTTCAAAATAGACATTTTTCTACCCTAAAATCAGACATAAATACATGGGTATTTAAAGCATTAGCCTATTATAATATTGACTTATTCATATGGTTTTATGTCATGATTGTATAGTATCCCTAAGAGCCTGGCTTGTCATGTGTTAATATGTACTTGACTTTTTCCATCAGAGTTCCATGGGAAGTCCTTTGACAAGACCAACACCTCGATCACCAGCCAACTGGTCCAGTCCTCTTACATCTCCTACCAATACATCACAGAACACTTTATCTCCAAGGTAACAAAAGAATAATTTGCAGCTGTGTGCTGTTGTTCCATGCCTGTAATCGTACTCAGGATGCTAAGATCTGAGGATCAAGATTTGTAGGCAGCCCAAGCAGACTAAGTGACTCATATCCAATTAGCCAGCAAAAAGCCAGAAGAGGTGTAGCCCAAGTGATAGAGTGCCAACCTTGAGTGAAAAAGCTAATAAGCAAGAGCTCCTGTCTCTTTGAGTTCTAACACCAGAACCTTCACACACACACACAAGAATTTTCAGTCACGTTTTATGTTTACCTGTACTAGAAAGGAATATGTTGATGTAATGCCAGTCACTTTCCACTTGACTTAAAGGTCTTAGAAAGTTAGAAGTGCAAACAATTTTAAGGGTATTCCAAAGGCAACCCTTTAAATGAATAATATAAGATATGGATGTTTTTGAAGGGATAAGGAACTGAAACAGCTTCTGTTTTCTTAAATTACATAGTTCTATTTCCAGAATGGTATGTAATCTAATAATTTATAAATTATGTCATTTATATCATAATGCTCAATTTAAATGATAAGTCAATTTTGATGGATATTTAGATCTAATATTGACCTAAGGCCTCTAAAAGTTGATGAGTGGCAAGTAAGCTTATATGCAAAGTATTAAAACAGGGAAGAATGGGGCAGGGTAAAATATACAATGAATATATCATTGTATGATATATATTATATATATACTTCTGAGAAAAAAAACTTACTGGAAGATTGGTCTTTAATACAAAATGTGAGAGAGATAGTTATGAGAAATATCGCATAAGCTATATTTAAGATTTAAATTCAGGAATAACTAATAGATGAATATCTTCTCCTGGCCTCTTGAGAAATGATTGCATATTAACCTCATATTTATTATTAATGTGTTTGATTTTTGGTCTTACTCATACACCATTAAAATTACAAGATGTAGGGCTAGGAAGGTGGCTCAGTGGTAGCGCACTTGCCTTGCATGCTCGAGGCCCTGGGTTCGATTCCTCAGCACCACATAAGAAAAAAGCTGGAAGTGGCACTGTGGCTCAAGTGGTAGAGTGCTGGCCTTGAGCTGAAGAGCTGAGGGACAGCGCCCAGGCTCAGAGTTCCGGCCCCACGACTGGACCCAAAAAAATTAAAAAAAAAATTTTTTTAAATAAATTACAAGATGTAGCTAGGCACCAGTGGCTCACTTCTGTAATCCCATCTACTCAGGAGGCTGAGACCTGAAGATCTTGGCTCAAAGCCAGTCCTGGCAGAAAAGTGTATGAGACACTTAACTGGAGATTCCAGTTAAGCACCAAAAAAGCCCAAAATAGTGCTATGACTCAAGTAGTAGAGAATGCTAACCTTAAGCACAAAAGTTCAGGAACACTGCCCAGGCCCTGAGTTCAGGTTCCATGACTGGCACAAAAAAGTAATAATAAGTTAGGGGATGACATATAACTGTCCAAGAAAGAAAAATATATTAAAAACTTAGCCAGGTACTAATGGCTCACACCTGTAATCCTAGCTTCAGGAGACTGAGATCTGAGAATAGCAGTTTGAAGCCAACCCAGGAAGACATCCAAGAAATTCAAATACCCAACAAAATGCTAGCAGTAGAGATATGGCTCAAGTGGTACAACTCCAACCTTGAACAAAAAGAGAAGCAAGAATATAAGGCCTTGAGGTCAAGCCCAATACTGGTACCAAAAAAGTATATATATATATAATTATTGTCGGGGCTGGGAATGTGACTTAATGGTAGAGTGTTGCCTAGCATGCATGAAGCCCTGGGTTTGATTCCTCAGTTCCACATAAACAGAAAAATCTGGAAGTGGTACTGTGGCTTAAGTGGTAGAGTGTTAACCTTGAGCAAAAGAAGCTCAGAGACAGTGCCTAGGCTCTGAGTTCAAGCCCCATAACTGGCAAAAAATATTATTATTATTGTCTAGGTTATGTGTTATATAGATGTAATAATTCTGGTGGTAAAATTGTAGCCTTAGTTGAACTTCAAAATTTGATTATAGAATTCATTTCATTGATATTTTTGTTGTGTTAAAAATTTTCTGATTTCTTACAAGTTTGTTTAAATACATCAATTCCTCTATACCATTATTGAGTTAATCATAGGATCATCAAACTTTCGATAAAGGTCAAACTGGCTTTTCAGCCAGGTGATCTTCGTAGTCATTACTTAAATGTACTGTTGTGGTTTGAAAACATCCACAGGCAATATCTAAATAAATAAGCGTGACTGTGATCTGAGAAAAGCCTTATTTATAGTGAGATTCAGATATCTTTATAATTTTCATATTCATTTGCTTTTTCAGCCATTTAAAACTATAATAAACATTCTTAGCTTTCAATTCATCTATAGCTTACTGACCTCTGGTTAATCAACACTAAATTTTTTTGGGGGGGGTCCGGT